TGCCAGAATAATGCCTAATATTACAAATATAGTCAGTCATTAAATCCTTCGAGTTAGTATCCAACTAGGAACTCTTCAAATATTATAATGGCGTTCAGTGTCTTAAGTGTCCGTGTGAAAAGCCATCAAGAAAGTTTTGTGCAAGGAGTTAGAGAGATGGCTCAGTGGTTAGAGCACTGCTGCTCTTTCAGAAGACCTGCCCTGGGTTTGACTGCCAGCACCCACATGGCAGCTCCCAACTGTCTGCAAACCTAGTTCTTGGGAATTCCATACCCTCCTCTGTCCTGCTCGGCACCAGGCATGCATGGGGAAAAGCGCACATACATACAATTTTTTAAAAAGAAAGGGGTGTGCAAGGGGTTTAGCAGTTAAGAGCACATGGTGCTCTTGAAAAGGACTGGGGTTTGGTTCCCAGCACCCACCCACACTGTGTGGGATTTATAGCTGTAATTCCAGAGGACCCGACATCCTTTTCTGGTCTCCTCAATACATATGGTGCACATACAGATATGCAGGCATACCCCCATATACATAAATACAAATAAATATTTAAAAAAGAAAGTGGTGTGCAAAGTTAGAAAACTGCAGATCCTACCATTGAAGCCATTTGAACACATGAAAGACAAACAAAAAGCCAACTGAGCCGAAGTCGACCCCAGCTCCAGAAGGCTGAACGCAGGCAGGAGGACCACTGCATGATGAAGGTCGGCTCAGCCAGGTAGTGAGGTCCAGGCCAGCATGGGATTCAGAGTTTCAGTTTCAAAAAAGAAAAACCAGAAGAATACTAGCTTCATTCAGTTGGTACTGACATGGGACCTGTTCGATTACAAATGAGGTTTTGTTACTGTTTTGAGACAGAGTTTCTCTGTACAGCCCTGGCTGCCCTGGAACTTGCTCTGTAGATCAGGCTGGCCTTGAACTCAGAGAACCACCTGCCTTTGCCTCCCTGAGTGCTGGGATTAAAGGCGTGGCCTACAAAGGAGGTTTTAAAACCTTAATTGTTTTGTGAACAAGTTTGTAAGATTGTGTCTTACCATCTCAGGTTGGTCTGGAACTTGAGACCCCTCTACCTCTGCCTTTGCAGTGACAGGATTACAGATGTGTATAGTACTATGGTCAACATCAACAGTACTTTAAAGACTGCAACTGAAACAAAGTCCAATTAAAATGTAACATATCTCGGTTTGCACTCCTCCAAGAGTTGACATAGCATTGTGATGTCATTGTACTTCTGACTGTCCTTACTAAGCAGCGAACTTGTAAGCCAGGGAGACATGGATTCAGACCTTGCTTTTTCACTTTTAATTTGTTTTAACTTGGAGTCTCTTCCTTCGTTTCCCAGAAACTCACATTTTTAATTTGTAAAATGGAATGCTATCAACTAGACCAAAGTACTGCGCCAACACTTAGCGTACCGCCTGTTCTCACAGGCCTGCTCTGGCGCACTGCCTGTTCACACAGGGCCTGCTCTGTACAAGGCAGCAATCACGGTGAGAGAGGTGGCTCCCGGGTTAAGAGCACTTATTAGTCTTGCAGAGTACCTGGGTTCAGCTCCCAGAACCTATGAGATAGATGGTTCACAACCATATGTAGCTCCAGCTCTAGGGGATCCAGTGCCCTCTTCTGGCCTCTATGGGGACTGCAAGCATCTGGTGTGCAGACTTACAGGCAAAACAACTCTCCCACACAAAATAAAAATACTCCTTTTAAACAGTAGAAATTATTACTTTTACTCAGGTTATTGTTTATTATAATCTCAAATTCACCCTTTCACCTTTCCCCAGACCTTGACAGGCTTTGGGAAATTACTCATGTAGTAGTAAAGTCAAACTATGTGTTAAGTCTCTGGGAATACAATGTCCACATTAGGAAGGACAAACACAAAGAAATAACTATAAGCCCAGCAAATAGGAGGTGTGCCATGAAAACATGTACCAGGACTGTTGAATTTAAGAAACCTTTGAAAAACTGTTATTCAAGCAGTGTCCTGAAATATGTGAAGACATTAAATAAGGAAAGACAAAATACGGTAGGTAATTGAACGTACTTAAATTCCCAGAGACAAAAGAAAACGGTGAACTCAAAGAACTGAAAAATGACCTAAGCGATCTGAATAAAGACATCAACGGTAAAGGCTCGTTAGACTATGTGTAGAGACATAAACATATTCTCCAGGGTCAAGTCAACCAAGCTAAAGATTATGAGTTTATCTGAAGAGCAAAAGCAGCTACTAAGCTGGTTCTTATGGGATTCTGCAATTGAAAAGCAATGCTGAGATGCCCCAGAAGAAAACAAACTCACGAGGTTAAGACTGAATGTAGGGAGGCCGTTTAGAAGGCCTTGTAGTTTGTTTCCCATTTCTTTGATAAAACACCATGACCACGCTAAATGTAGTGGTACACACCATTAATCCCAGCACTTGAGAGGCAGAGACAGGGAGATCTCTGGGAAGTCAGTCTGGTCTACATAGTGAGTGCCAAGAGAGCCAGAACTACGTAGTGAGACCGTGTCTCCAAATAAGACAAAAAACAAACAAACAAAACGACAACAAAAGCACCTCTGACTCCACAAGGAAGGAAAGGGTTTAGCTGGCTTACACATTCTGATCACAGGCCATCCTGCTGGGAAGTCAGGACAGGAATTCAAACAGGACCTACCTGAAACAGAGGCTACGGAGGAACACTACTTACTACTTGCTCCCCATGGCTTGTTGAGCTTGCTTTCTATCAGCTTCAGGAACAGCTGCGCAGGAATATACCGCAGCTGGGGGCTGGGCCCATCCACATCAATCATCAATCAGGAAAATGCTCTACAGACTTAAATAGAGGCATTTTCTCAATTGTGGTCCCTCTTCCCAGATTAAAAACAAAACAAAAAACTAACCAGGACAGAAAGTCAGATTGAATTCCAAGTGCCAAGTGAAAGAAGCCACTATGAAAGCAGAATTAGTAAGAAAGCAGAAAAAAGAAGAAAAATTCAAGAAATTTTCATTAAGGGAAAAGAATCAATAAGATGTGATGTGGCTATACCTCATAAGCTACGTGAGGGAAAGGCACTTTGGAAAGCCTCATCTCAAAACAAGAATTTGCTCAACAACATGTACATGTTCCATGATGTAACTCATCCCTGAGCTGATGATCGAACCTAATACAGTCTGCATCCTAGGCAAGCATTCTGCCTCAGTCCCTACTATATATCAACCACAGCCAACTCCACATTCCTAAAGCAGTGCACAGAGTTAAAACTTAACATGAGAAATTTATTAAAACCCTTTGGCAGGCACAGCACACAAATTTAGCCTACTGAGAAACTATTTTTGAAACCACTCTGGTGGATGAACAGCAGTTCTCCATCAGAGATCACTGATCTTTCAACCATTGGGTTAATTATGGGATTTACACGTGGCTTGAAATCGAAGAGAGAGGGGGTGATAATTAGAATACTTTCTTTTCTTGGCGTCAGCTTTCGGTTCTGAAAGGAAAAGGTTAAGTTTTCATTTGGTCCTTTCCCGTTTTAACCCTGTATATCAAGCAAGCAAGAGGATTTTATGAGTAAAGCAAAAGAGATGTAAACTCTGCTGCCCTCATAAAAGTTGTTCTGGAATAAGCATTTGCACACCGCTTCCTTCTTAATCAGAACCTATCACACAGGCTTCACTCTTCATTGGGGACATTTATCTCCAGGTAGCAATTATGAGGGTTCTACCGTAAGTTGGCAGTGAGGACGTGGGGGCTTAAGGGGTTGAGAGCAAGCACGTTACACCTGCTTTCAATTCTTCTTACTCCTCTATCATTTATCCCATTGCACCTGAATAAAACAACTTGTTAGGACGGTGTGCTCAGTAAAATGGCACGAAGCAAAGAGCTGAGAAGTCTGCCTATACGCCAAGTGTTTGAGCTGTGCCACACAGTGACTTCTCCGGGAAGCATGTTTCGTATAGAACTGTTTGTTTCACTCAAAACCTAAACTGGAACGAACGCTTCAACGCTGCTCTGGCTAAATCCTTCACGAGAACCCTCCAACACCGGCTTTCTCTTAATTCGAAAGGCAGTTAGGAGTAACGGGACATTTAATGAGCTCCTGCTCTCTGTTGAGATCGAATCTGGCTCTGCAACATCAGTACGGAGTCCACTCAAGCGCACTTTAAGTGGAAGGAGGAGGATGAACTGTTACAACTCGCATGTGGAAGCTGAGAAAGGCGACCAAACCAAAGTCTTAGAGCCTTATCCTTAGCTCGAGGGTGAAGAAATTAACCTTCAACCTCACGTTTGGCTAAGGGGACCTACCACACAGTAATGAAGGCATCCTGACAGGTGCAGGGAGTGTGGGGTAAACGCAAGAGGGAATTCAAATCTCAAAGCAAAATCGGCTTGCCACAGTCCATCTCACTTTAGTTTTCTAATTGCTGACCTATCTCCGCCACAAGTCAAGGTGGAGACCACAGAATCCAAACGAATACAGCATAACCTTTGCCCTCTGACTTAGGAGTGGAAACTCACCAGTTTCATATCGGACTTTTGGATGTTCAGTACCAGTCTCTTCACTTCTCAAAGCAAGGCAGCGTCTTCCGGTTCCAGCTCCGTCGCCCAGAGCATCGCGGGACTTGGAGTTTTTCCCTCTCACGCACTTTCTGGAGCATCACGGGAAATGCAGTTTTACTGCAGGCATTAAGGGACCTGTGGGCGTCTTTCCTTTTCCTCCCTTTTCTCGCCAAACGCCTCCTTCCGTCCGCTTAAATTCATCGCCGCCGCCAATTCATCCTTCCTTTCCATCCCAGAATGATATCATGACCCTCATCCCGGTCTGGAATCCATGGTGTTCTGGGATATGTAGTCCGCACGGTTCCAGTTCCCGGCTCCCCTCCTCCCTGTGGGAAGGCCTTTGGGCGCAGTGCCTGCTGGAAGCTGTAGTTCCCTGGGGCCTCAGACCCTGAGCTCTACGCTTTTTCTCTAGGGAGCCGGAAACTACAACTCCCAGGGATGCCCGGCGGCAGCAGGTGGGAGCGGGGCTGTTGCTATCAATATGGCGGTTGTCAGCCAGACAAAGACAGTCAGTCTGATGTGATTGAGACAAGGGAGGTTTTCAGGGGGAGACTGGGAGATAGGGGGCTCCCCTCCCCCCGCTGCTCTTCCTGCTTGGGCCTGGAGCCCTCCTCAGCCCCTCCCGCAGGGCGCCCCGCGGTGAAGAATCCCCTCCCCCTCCCGCCTTCCTCCTCCCTCCCTCAGCCTAGCTCTGGGACGCTGGGGAGGGGGCTGAGCCTGGTGCACGGAACTCAGCTGGGCTTCCGAGGTGAGTGGGGTCGTTTGCGACCAGACTGCCTTAAGTCTCTTTCCTCACTTCTTGCGTTACTTTAAGGGGGAGAAAAATGTTTCGGAGGGGTTTTGGGGGAGAGAAAGTGAGTAGGCGCCACAGATGGGTCTCTGGAGTGGCCAGTCTGGGGGCGGGGGAGCGGGTAAGCGGAGGGGGGGGCTCCCCAGGGGGCGGTGGTGCGCGGGTTGTGGGGTGGGGCAGTTTGTGAGGGGCGGGCGTAAAGAGGCGAGGACGGCTCCCTAACTTCTCCCCGGTCTCCAGGACCGGCGGAAGGTTTGAATTCTGGAGGTGGGGTCTTCCTGCTTGCGAGTTTGAGAAACTGTGAGGTGGCTTCGAGGTGTGCTGGTTTGTTTGGGGAGTGTCTCGCTGTGTTTTAAACTGTGACGTGTACTTGGGTGCTGGGCTCGTCTCGAAGGAATGTCTGTAGATGGTAAGTTAGATAGCCTGAGTCGAAGATAAGCGGCCTGGGTTTGGGAGGCACGCGTGAGTCCCGGGCTGGACTTTGGCTCTCCGGACCTTGTGCAGGGTTTTGGAGGTGGGGGGGGGTGTCGTCAGCAACTCGTTCGTGTCTGGGGGGCCAGCTCCCACTCCGTGCCCTCCTCTGGGCCAGTCTCCACCCCCAAACTCCCGGCAGGAGGACTGTACCGATGATGTGTTGTGGCGATGCATCTTTGCCTCCTCAAGTCGGCAGCTAAAGGTGGGAAAGGAAGTGTCTCTTAAGATTTTATTCCGGAACCGTGTTTTGGTTACACTATTGGGGCTACTTTGAAAGGAGTCCTCCGCCCACCTTCACCCCGAAACAGTAAGTAAAGGTAGCCTGTCATCTTCATGCTCAGTGACTTGCCAGTTATTTAAAATTCCGGGACGTGGGGTTGGGAGTCTGGAGTGCTAAATGGCATATGCATCTGTGTCTACTAATGAGGCGAGTGTCTGCAGTGTGCCCCGAGGTAGACAGGGCGACTCATTTTCGTAGTTGAAAAAACTGTTGGAAATTATTTTCGGGGAAGAGGCTTGGTGATGCGCTGAAAGGCGCTGCATGGATTTTTCGTCTACCCCACCCAGCTCTGTCTCACATTTGCTTGGAAACTGGTATGGAAGAGTGAGGGAGCATTGGGTGAGCGAAGCCGAGAATGCACTTAGCAGGACGGACACACTCTATGTAAAGTTGAATGATAAAAGTGATTGCTATGTTGTCTGAAGCTTTAAGAAAAGACCTCGCGTGTTATATAGGGTATAGTCACGTGCTCCTTTTTTTCTGGGGACCTACAGATAATGGAACTCTTTGCCTTCTCCTTTCCTATCTTTCCCTCCCTTCCTTCCTCTCCCCCCTCCTTCCTTCCTTCCTTGGCACAGAACATTTCTCTTCCTGATGGACATAATACCTCCTGTGCCTTTTTTTTTTTTTGCTTAGTTTGTGCTAATATGGGTCGTGCTTTTTGTGGTTGCACTATAAAATGCATCATTAAGTGCAAAGGACCCGAATTTGTTGCTTTTTTGCATTTATGCCACAAGTAATTATCACATAAGGCTCGCAGTGTTTTGCATTAAACTTACTAACTTGCTAGATCTGGTTGAATTATGCTTATAAGTCAAGTTTAAGAAATCTGATTTTCTTTTTCAATTAGAGTTGGAATGAAACATCTCTTGTTTCTCACAGTCTTGAATATTTAATGACATTACACCAGGAGAATTTAAGATCATGCATTTTGTACTCCCTCAGTCCAAAATACAACTTCTTCAGTCACTCCCTGTGATAATTTTGTGCTAGCACAGACTTTTAAATAACCAAGAGTAATTGGCATCATTTCTATTTTAACTTGAGAGTTTAATGTATTTATATATTTGATCAAAATGCATCAGTTCTTGAATGTTTCACCTATCAGGAAGGGGCTGAAAGTCACACAGATACACTGGGATTTTCTGGTGGAGTTAGCCTTTGGTTTGAAATTTCTGCTGTTGATCATTCACACAGATAAGGGAACTGTTAGCATGAAATCGAGCATTATGTATTTAAATTGACCTGAATAGAATTTCAGATATAGAATGTGCTGTTCCAAGCCGAGCCTTTGGTTTGTTGAAGACCCGGATTTTCAGAATTACTTGTTTTAAGCTTTAACTTAACCTAAAATATTAATTTTCAAAAATTGGAAGAAAATTTCATGTAACAATATAATAGTTGCTTACTTGTGTTTTTCTGAAATATATTCTAATAGTCATGGAATTTTTAATTGTTTAATAATCATTTTAGATATGTCAAATTGAAATGCTCCAGTCTAGAAAAATGAGTATTTTTCATCTACCGTTTCCTGAAATCTTTTTGTTTATATTCTCCAATGGAAATGTGAAGTTATTTATGGGAAAAGCATTTGTTAAACTTTTTCTGACTAGTAGTCAGAAAATGGTAAAAATGGTAAAAAAAAAAAAAAAAAGGCGAAATAATCCTTGCATTCATTGGGCTGATTCTGTTGCATTTTGAGCACTGGGGCATTAAAATGATGTAAAGCCTTTACTGCAGGCTAAAGCATAAAACATTCTCAGCATGTGGAAGTCATATGGTTTACGAAAAAGAGTAGAGAACCAGGGCATTGGTGCCTGTCCAGATTAAATTTCATCCTGTAACTGTAAAGACGTATTTATTTTAATCTGATCATTTCTAAAAAATGTGGCCTTTATTACGGGAAGTTGAAAATGCAAGCTGTTTTTAACCAAACTGCTGCATATATGGAACACTGTTCAGTCAGGAAAGTGCATTAAGGAAAGGAACCCTTAGCAATGTGTTGAATGCCTTTCCAGAGGCTTTATTTGCACTGCTGGGTGCATTTCATTTTCTATCCCAAGTAGAAACTTAATATCTCTATTTTTGTAGTTATAACACACATTGTAACAAAGACCTCATTCTTCTGTCCTGGCAATTTTCTACTAAGTGTTGGTGGGTATTCTTGCTTGCGTCATTGTATGTCATTGTATATTAATTTGTTCTTTTCGAGTCTTCCTATGTGTCATATTAGTTCTGTCTCTGGTTTCAAAGTTCAGTTGGCTACCTTGTTTCTATCAACAGCAGGTTTACCCAGGGGTTCATCGACTGCAGCTTTTCTCTTGTTTTTGTATTCTGTTCTTTAAGCTTGGGTTATTTCTCTTGGAAAGTATAAATTTATCACGGAATGTTATTTTTCATAAATAGGAGTTGGTGTACTTCTCAACTCTATGAAATGATGATCATTATAGATCAGTATTAAAAGTGCCCAGTAAAAACGTGCTGGGTTTTGTTTGTTTGTTCTTGCTTTATGTAGGTATTTTGGCTTCCAGACTCTTACTATTCTATTCTTTGGCTAGATTTTTCTGTCAACTACTGGTTTTTCTTTTTCCTTTTCAATTTAGTACAACTTTATATAAAACTGTTATGAATAAAAAGCATAGCATATTCATATCACATATATTCATTTGTGCAGTTAAATATGAAGTATGCTTGTGTGTGTATCAGACCTACAGCCATGAAAACAAATTTGACCCACAAATAGCAGAGACCAAAGAGTAACCACCATTCATGCTACATTATAGAAACTTTGGAGGTTTCCGTATCATTTTAAACCATCATTTTAGCAGATTCTGCCACACTATAGTTCTCTCAGATGTCAGCCTGTCAGTCTGGCATTTTTCTCCAGCTAGTACTAAACAATCTGTGTGGCTCAGATTCCTAGACACAGCTGTGCCCAAGATGGCCTTCTCTTAGACTGAGGATCCGTCTATAGGTGCAGAGTAGAGACTCTCCATGACTATCTGTTGTAAAACGTGTAGGTTTTAGTTAAACACTGTTTATGGACTCTTCTGACTTAGGGAACACATAGTAGGCTTATTTTAAAAAGCATTTGTGAACTAAAGATAAAAATTGCAGTTTAAGTGATTTATAAAGCAATAGTTTAGCTCTGCTGTGACGAACTATTTTAATTTTTTTTTTTTGACTCTTAAGACAGGTGCACCTGAGTCTTTTTAAGTGATAAAGTGATTCTAGTTCATTCTGAGGCCATTTAAGAGTTTCATTGGGTTGTTGGTTATGATTAAAATATTTACTAGATATAGGTCTAAGGTTTTTGTCACTGTAACACAGGTTGAGGTTAAATGGGAAGAGGAACCTCTATTGAGACAATACCTCAATCATATTGCCTGTGGGGCATTTTCTTGATTACACATTGTCAAGAGGAGGGTCCAGTTTGCTGTGCAAGCAATTTTACCCCTGGGCAGGTGGCCCTCCAAAGCATAAGAAAGTGTAAGGAACAAGCCACGAAGAGCAAGCCAGTGATGAGGTCCCTTTGTGGTCTTTACTTGGTTTTCTGCCTCCAGTTTCCTGTTCTTGTGTTCCTGTCTTAGCTTCCCTGAATGATGGCCTGTGATGTGGACGTGTAAGCCAAATAAACCCTTTCCTACCCACATTGCTTTTAGTAATGTGTCTTTATCACAGCAAACAAAAGCAAATTAAGGCAGTATACTTGGTAGCTCTGTCCGTCTGTTGATAGCTTTTAGTAATGTGTCTTTATCATAGCAAACAAAAGCAAACTAAGGCAGTATACTTGGTAGCTCTGTCCGTCTGTTGTTCAGAGGCCCATATGTGGTGTGTTAGAAACATTAGTAAATTTCATGTTCAAGGGGCATTATGGAGGTGCAAAGGAACAGTGACTTTAATGAATATAGTCACATTCTTTTTGCATTTATTTATCTAATATGTGTGATTAAAGTCACCTGCCATGGTGCACACATGGAATTTAGAAGACAGCTCACAGGAGTTGGCTCTTTCTTATTCCATCATGGGGGTATTAGGGATTGAACTCAGGTCTTCAGGCTTGCTAGCAGGTGGTCCTTGACCTGCTGGCCTAAGATTCCTTTTTTTTTTTTTTATACAGGGAAAAAGCAAATGTTTGTGGGTTCTGCTTAAATGAGGATGATGTAATACTGAAATCATCTGCCTTGTAATTTTGATAAGAAGT